GTGTGGCAGTAAAAGGACAACCAAAAAGATCCGCGAAGATCAACAGATCAATGAAGCGAGTCGAAAGGATTGTTGAAGCGGAACACCCGGGATCGGAGATGGATAACAGGAAACGCAAATCATCAGAGTCTTAGCATGAGGACCTACGGCGATGCCCCGTGCCTGAACCAAGAATGATGACTATGACACCAAAAGCTCAAATTCAGCGTACATGCGGACGGAAAAAGAGATGGGAAACCACCTTGTACTCCCCGGCTTCCGAACGACTGTCTCTTACCCCTCTCAGATCCTCGGGATCAACAACCCCTAAGAAAAGTCCCAGAGGAATGATTCCACCTATGGTCAGCCCAAGCCCCTCTCCCGGCATCACAATCATAAAACTTCCCAGACACGACTTCTATTGCTTCCTATGCGGCATCCGGGTTACGGGAATATGGACGCTTGATAGACACTTCAATACGAAGCACAGACTGGCAAAAATTCTATACATGTGTCGCATGTGTGAGAAGGTGGAAATAAACTGTCAGTCCATCACATGTCATATTCCCAAATGCAAAAGGACTAAAAGCCCTGCCAAAGGAACGATGGAATGTGGGATCTGCAAAGGGAAGTTCAAGACAATAAGGGGAATCTCACAGCATAAACGACACAGGCACCCTGCTGAGTGGAACCTCGAGAAAATAAAGGAGCGGTCCATGATCAACGGGAGGGGCACGAATGACCGAAACGGACGAGCCACTAAAGGAACATTCCTCGAGAGACTTGATACAGCCGATGGAACAAAAGCCCAAAATCTGGGACCGATCATGCCTGAGAAAGGGGTTTGCCCCAACCAACAATGTCCGATTACTAGACAACCAGCCGGCTCAATACAGTGACAGCAACAGTAATGGTGGAGTCAAGAATTCTGGGGATGGACGTGGCACTGAAGGCGATAAGGTCAAAAGACGAGAGCTACAGACAAAAGTCTTGTCGAACGACGATAAGATGGAGAAAATGTGGAAACTGGTGGGCGAGACAGAATGTCAAGAATCTACCATGATACTGGAGATGATAAATGACATTGAATACGAAGGAAAGACAACAGACGATATGGCAATTGCCATGATTCAAGCAATGAGCACCAAGTTAACACAGGAGACAAGAGAGGTGCCGGACAAAGACATCAAATGGCGTGGCATGCTATCCAAGAAAAGAAGGATCATGAAGGTTAGAAGATATAGATCGTGCCAGTGCCTGTACAAGTCAGACCGAGCTGCATTGGCCAGATTGATCCTTGATGGCAAGGAGACAATGAAATGCAAGATACCGATCGAAGAGATCTATAACACCTTTAAGGACAAATGGGAAAAAGGAAATAAGTTCACGTCCCTGGGAGACTTTGTGTCAACTAAAGGGTCCAACGAGGAAGATATAAGGAGACCCATAACCCCTAAAGAAGTCATGAAAATCCTGAATAAGAGAAAGGAAGGGTCGGCACCGGGTCCGGATGGGATAACCAAAACGACCTTAAAGAAATGGGACAAAGATGGAACGATTTTGGCAAGAGAATACACAAGATGGTTAATACAGGGACGTATACCAGTAGCGTTCAAGGGATGCTGGACAACACTTATCGCCAAATCATCCAATGAATGGGACCTTAAGGATTTGGCAAACTGGAGACCAGTCACAATCGGCTCCATGGTCCGAAGACTTTTTGATGGAATCCTGACCCGAAGGCTGATAAAAATATGCCCAATGAACCAAAGACAAAGAGGCTTCCTAGAAGGGGCCGACGGCTGTGCGGAAAACTTGATGATACTCGACAGAATCATCAAACGAGCAAGAGCGCAAAACAAACCACTGGTAGTGGTTCTAATCGATTTCGCCAAGGCCTTTGATACGGTGGCCCATAATCACATACTCGCCATACTGAAACAAAGAGGAGTTGACAGCCTGGCATACGACGTGATCAAAGACTTCTACATCAACTGCACTACGACAATATGCTGTGGAAAGACCCGAACTGGACTGATTAAAATGAAAGTTGGAGTCAAACAAGGAGATCCACTTTCTCCCCTGCTGTTCAACCTGGCGATGGACCCACTGATAAACCAATTGGAAACAAGTGGTAAGGGCCTTGAATGGGATAAAGAGAGGATAGCATCACTAGCGTTTGCTGACGACCTAGTGTTGGTATGCGGATCAAGGACTGATATGTCAGCTCAACTACAGACCCTGGAGGAATTCTGCAGACTAACAGGACTAAGGGTCCAGCCGAAAAAGTGCTATGGCTTCACAATGGCAAAAGGTCTGATCAATGCTGACGGACCGTTGATACTGGAAGATCAACCAATCCAAATGGTCGACCCTGGCCAATCGGTCAAGTACCTCGGAGTGCAAGTAGGACCCGAGAATGGTATTACGGCTCCCGACGTGTGCTCGAAACTGGAACTTTGGCTGGACAACATAAGTAATGCTGACCTCAAACCCTCACAAAGAGTCGAAATCCTGAATACCTATGCCCTACCTCGGGTGATTTACCAAGCGACCCTGGGCAAAGTTTCAAAGGGAGGCCTGGCAACAATGGATCGAATGGTGAGGAAGAGAGTGAAAGCATGGCTCCACCTGGAACAAACGACCAGTAATGGACTAATCTATTCTCGAAACAAAGACGGAGGATTGGGAATCATGAAACTTGAACTGATGATCCCAGCTGAAATACCTCTGGAAAATGTGCTCTAGCGATGATGGCTGGTCGAGGAAAGTGGCGAGAGGAATGACTGAACAACCCGAATGGAAAGCCCTCTGGAAGCAGGCAGGGGGCAACCCGGATGATACACCGGGCTTAGACGATACTGCCGGTGATGGAGAACCAAGATCATTCAAACTCACTCTCCCAGATTGGAGAACAGAAGAGAACCAAGCATGGGCGAAACTGAAAACACAAGGAAGCGGAGTTAACATGTTCAAGAATGACAAAATCAGCAATTCCTGGATAAGGCGACCTGAAAAAGTCTCGTTCAAACAAAAGCATTACCTGATGGGACTAACAATGAGGGCTGGAGTTACTCCAGCCCGAGATGGACTGCCTGGCGATACCGGATGGAGAGCAAACAGATGCAGAAGATGCAATATGAAAAATGAGTCCATGTCCCATATTCTGGGACAATGTAGCTACGTGAAAGGAAACATTATCAGACGTCATAACAAAATATGTGCGGACCTGGAGAATGAAATGACGGCACATGGTTGGACGATAATAAAAGAGCCAAGACTAAAAGATGCAATGGGACACCTTAAAATCCCCGATATGGTGGGCTTGAAAGACGGAACGGCCCTCATTATCGATATAACAGTAAGATACGAGATTGAAGACTTCCCACTGGAGATAGCAGCGGAAGAGAAGGTGAACAAATACAGACCAATTGGTAAAATGGTCAAAGAAATGTTCGGAGCCAAGAGAGTCAAGATCCAAGGTTTCCCCTTCGGGGCTAGGGGAAAATGGCCGGCTTGCAACAATCATATCCTCAAGGAAATCGGACTGAGCGAACTCAGAAAGACAACATTTGCCAAGTTCATAAGCAGGAGAGTCCTCCTATATTCGATTGACATTCTGAATGGCTTTATGTTATATTAATAAAAAAAAAAAAAATTAAAAAAAAAAGGAGAACCCAAATCCACTTCTCCTAAAAACTGGGGCGGTATAACTAAAGGGCTAAACGCGATCTATATGTTTAGCCTGGACGGCTGGACCACACAAACCAAGCTAAATGACTGGTGGACCGAAAGAGTGGATAATTAAAGAATAAAGGGCATATATGGAGTGAAGACAAGCCCCTCAAGCGTAATAGATGACACCCTAGATCCTGACCAGGAAAAGGGGTGTATCTACGAAACTTGAGGGCCACGGGTTGTTATCATCCTAGGGTTGAGTCCCTGAAATGATGCGTTAGAGGAAGTCTGAGTAGTGAAGGATGGGGGCGACCCATCAGCCTCTTAGTCGGGAACTTGGGCCGTTCATCTGTCTCATGTACAGCACTTGGGTGACCTCTCACTCGACGGCCGAGGATAAAACCGTCGAAATTCCGTGCCATGAGGGATCGTCTACGGGCCCACGAATAACACAGCACCAAAGTCGGTACACCTGTCAAACGGTAACGCAGGTGTCCTAAGGCGAGCTCAGGGAGGACGGAAACCTCCCGCGGAGCAGAAGGGCAAAAGCTCGCTTGATCTTGATTTTAAGTATGAGTACGGATCGTGAAAGCGCGGCCTCACGATCCTTCTGGTGGATCTGCAGTATGTTGAGTCCAGGAAACTCGCAGCTGTAACCGAAATAAACATCGTTCACTATGTAAACCAGTGTGGTGGTTGCTGCTGCCTTTTTTCGAACGAAGCAGTAGTGGTCGCTGTTGGATAAGACTTCGTTGTAGTGAAATGTCTTCGCGAGGCTGGAGCAGACAAAATGATTTCGTATAACGCAACAGGGGGGTTTTCATCGTATGGGAGGGCAGGAGAATGGTAATTGTGTTCATGCATGATTTTTTCACGTAAGGGGGTATTTTCGCCCATGTAGGTTTCGTTCTAGAGGAGTTTCACTGTTAGTTATCATACATTCGCTTATTATTAAATTGATTGATTGATAAATTGATTATGCTTGCAAAGAACGCTTATGCCTGCAATCATTAATTGACTATGCCTGCAATGAAGAACGCTTATGCTTTTAATAAAGATATAATGCTTCTTAATCATTATATATTAATCATTATGTACTTCCCTCCTGGTACCAGAATTGAGTCTCCTGTCTCCTCCTTGTGTTTTATTCCTAAGTGTCATATTGGATAAACCTGACATTTTTGGGGGCTTGTCCGGGATCGCAATATACCTGACGCCTCCAGACGCTGCGTCGACGGCCAGGAAGACCGTGGCCACGGCTAAAACACCCTTTCCGGGACTGGGTTTCGCCTCCTCGTCTGGGGGCTGTGAGGGTTGACGCGAATCCAGAGGAGAGAGGCCTACTCTTGGTAAGTAGGGCGGCGGTGTCCTGTACGTACTTAAACTCTGCACTGACACTCTTTCAAGTGTTGAATGAGTGTTTGCGCGCTGGGTTTTTAAAGACGGAGGTCGGGGTGGTCTTTAAACCTGTTTTTAATTGTAACCCTCTCAGGACAGGTGTTGCAGATTTGTAACAACCTAGTACCTAGACTACACCTGGTTTGAGAACTTAATTTGAGCCTGAGAGGGATCTATTGAGAAGGGACTCTTTCAAAGCGTTGAATGAGTGTTTGCGCGCCGGCTAAAGACGTGGTCTTTAAAGCCGCTTAAAGCCCTGAGCCATACTAGTCCCTAACAGGCATATAGACAGAGTCAAGTCTTTAAAACTGTTGAGGGCGGCGGTGTCCTGTACGTGCTTAAACTCCGCGTGTAAATGGAGTGTGTATATAGAACGGTGCCGAGGTTGAATGTAATCGAATAAAATGCGCTTAATGAGTGACTGTGTAACTGTGTGAGTGGAGGTTTGCTACCTCATTCGAACAGAACATTTTGTGTGGCAACTGTCTGAGGAAGCAGATGCAAGAATTTCCCGTCACTTTGGTATACCATTGTACTGTCTCGGCCAGATTTGGACAGTCAGCTAAACTCATTTCCTACACCACGACTCTGAAGACGTTGCTCTTCGTCCACAGGTTTAATGATGGAGAAAAAGATGAAACCATGATACTACCAAAGGCGTGAGATGTCTGTGGATTGTGCTGGATTAAACACGACGACCATAACGTTTCTCTCATAGACGATCTATCGCTCTACTTCCTGCTTCCGCGTACGCGTCTTCCGCTTTCATGACGTCACATCCGGGTGTGAACTACACTGTTTGCAATGAATCAATAAAGTTACGTTGCATAAAGAAAATGCTCTTAACTATGCATAGAAATATTAACGTTACTTTTGTGTAACTAAAATAAAACATTCAAACTTGGATTAAATGTAAGTTGGGGACAGAACACTCCCCGCCTGGCATGATTACATCCCACCCACTTGTCCATTGTCTACCCATCTGGAGGAAGAAGCAAAGCCATTTCAGTGACTGGTCTCACGAAAATTGTCTCTCCTCCAGGCTTGACCACGTTCACCTTGACTTGGCGAACCCTTCCGTCTTTGCTTGAAAAAGTCTTTGTTGACATACCAAGCGGCCGTTTGTTCCTGTGTACTTGGCGATCCTTAAGGAGAACGATGCTCTTCGGCTCGATGTTCTTGCATGGAGACCGCCACTTCTTTCGTGCTTGCCGTGTTGGGAGAACCTGTTTATGCCACCTGTCCCAGAAGGTGTTGGACAGATGCTGGACATGCCTCGACTGGCACTTGGAAAGTTCAGCGGGTCCAAACTCTCCTGCAGGAGCTGGTCGAGGAAGTACCTTCTGCGTTAGGAGAGTAGCTGGTGTGAGTGAGAGCAACTCGTCTCGGTCAGTTGGAACAAGCAGTCGGGAATTGATGATAGCTGTGACTTCTGCCATAAAGGTTACCAAGACTTCATGGGTAAGTTTGTCTGTGTTAAGGTTGAGGTCTTTCAAGTCGCTTGCGTGGTCCTTTGATGGGAAGGCTTCCATGACTTCTTTGGGGTTTGGTGCGATCTTGTGTAGTCTAAGGTTTGATCTAGAGATCACATCTTGCGTCTTCTTTAGCAAGTCAAAGGCAGCTTCAACTGTAGACAGAGACCTCATCTCAAGCTTCTCAATGTTTTGCCCAAGTGCCAGGGGTCTGTTCTTGGGAAGTCGTCGGCGTGGGTTCTTAAAGGGTAATGGAGCTACCCTACTGTTGTTAGAATCTTTATGTAGTCCATGGTTCATGATTTTCATGGATGAAGCATCCTGAATTGATGGAGCCACTTGGTTATCTTCTTTAGCTCGCTGGATTACATCCAAATGGTCATTATCGCAGACACATTCCTCTTCAGAGCATGTTGTGAGATGGCTCGTCAATTGGATGTCGCTGTACTTTTCTTTCACATGGAACACATAAGGGCATGGGTTAAAGATGGATGGTCGTTGAAGCTCTGCGGTGCTTGTATAAAAGGAGCTGATTGTTAGTGGTCTGTGGATGCTGCCGAGGCACACATTGCCTACAACAACCCACCCAACATCTAGCTTCTGTGCATAGGGCTGGTTGTGTGAATCATTAACTTGTTTCCGTACCTTGTGTACTCTGATGATGTCCCGACCCAAGAGAAGCATGATTTGGGCATTTGGATCCATTTCTGGAATGAGATGAGCTATTGACTTTAAATGTGCATGATGAAGAGCGACACTCGGAGTTGGAATTTCGTCTGGAGGCTCTGGAGCAGGGACCTCCACTTCCACACATGCTGTGGGCTCTGGATGTAGGGGCGTGCAATGTCTGTCACTCTTGCACTCAAAACACTGAAACTGGACTTTGCAGTTTTTGGCGATGTGCGTTGACGAACAACATTTGAAGCAAAGATTGTTTTCTTTCAAGAATGTTTTGCGGTCTTCCATGGGTCGTTCTCTAAACGCACGACATTTGTGCAAAGGGTGTGGTTTCCCATGAATAGGACACATTTTGTCAGCGTCCACTGTTTTCATCGGAGACTCAGTCAAGTCAGGATCCCTCTTGGTTTTTATCTCCGTTTTGTAAGCTGAGATTTTCTGATTCTTTCTTGTCTGCCATGTTGATTTTTCAGCCTTGGGTACACTGTCTGCGTGAGTGACAAAGCTGAAGCTTGGATCATTGGCAATGCTTGCTTCTTGAACAAAATCTACAAATAAACTGAAGGGTGGATAATGCACATTCTCTCGTCGCTTAGATGATGCACCAACTGAAGCCCACTTCTCTTGCAGGCGAAAGGGAAGCTTGTGCGCTATCGGGTTTACTCCTCTAGCTGTGTCGAGGAAGGACAAACCAGGTCAGACTCCTTCATCCTTAGCTGAGAGTAGTTCATGAGAAGATCACTTAACTTCGTTAACATAGCATATTCCCTGTTCCCTATCTTTGGAAAGGCGTCAATGCGTTTGAAGAGAGCATCTTCGATTGCTTCTGTTGAACCCTAAGTTCTTTCGAGTCTTGTCCATAACATGTCTAGGCCTGCTTCTGGATTATTGACATGAATTGCCCTTATCCGTTCGGCATGTTCTTTTGACTCCTCATCGAGCCATTTTAGAAGAAGATCAAGTTCTTCACTTGCTGTTAAATTTAAGCCGTCTGTTGCAGAGTGGAATGAGCGTTTCCAGGCTCTGTAATTCTGTGGCTTGTCATTAAACTGGAGTAAGCCGGTAACACCAATTCACGGCGTGCAAGGTATCTCACAAATTCGTTTGCATTGGAGTTACCGAAGTTGAATTAGGAGACATAGGATAGGATAGAGGTGATGCAACATTTTGGTTGTTCTGATTTCTAAATTGGTGTGGCAGTGTAGAATGACATCTTTCAAACTTCACTTGTCGGGGCTCACGAACAAATTCATCCTTACAAGGTTGAACAAGTTGGAAAATATTGTGTGGTGTTAGTGAGACATCCTTTTCATTTGGTTGGTGTTCTGTTTCTAATGTTTTGGTTTGTTCAGCAACATACTGTTGAGTGCGCTGTGTGGCTGTTAAGGGAGTAAAATCCAACACAAGCATTTGGCTACGTTGTTGGTTCATGTTATCAACAGCGGCTTCCAGTGCTTCTGGTTCCGCAACGGCTGGCGCGTGCTCTAGCTGCGGCAGAGGATGTTGTTGTTGTTGTTGTTTAGTCACCCTAGGCGCCTCAGGATAATCCTGAGTAGCGCTAGACTCGCGCATGGGAGGCTCCTAAGTTCTCCGAAGAAGTTGCCAAGTTGTCGATGGTGCCGGTCCACCAGGAACGCCGGGCAGCGTAGCCAAAGATGTTCGGCTGACTCTTCTTCCTCGCCGCATAACCGGCATCGGTCGTCGTCACACATCCCCAGCAGATGTTGCCATCGTCGGAGAGAGGGGTGATGGCCGGACCTGAACCGGATCAGGTCGACGAGGTCTTTCTTCGACAGTGAGGCCTCTTCGGAGGGGTTGGGTTTTTGGGAAGAGAGGGCGGTAAGACGGGGGTGGGGGGATGGGGGAGGGATGCAGCTTCTGCGTATGATGGCGCGCCTTGTGGAAATGTCAGGATCCGGGTTTGGTTGGGGAAGGGATGAGCCGAGTTTGGCTTGCTCGTCAGCCAGGTCATTGCCAAGGAGATTGCAATGAGCAGGCACCCAGATGACCTGAACTGGGCCCTTGGGCCCGAGGGCAGCGAAAAGGGACTGTAGGGCAGTAATCTCGGGATCAGTTGGGCTGATATTGGAGATGGCGCCGGCAAGAGATCTGCAATCGGTGACGATGGAGGCAGAGGACCAGTTGTCATGTTGCTCCAGCCAGTGAACGGCATAGAGCATGGCAGCTTTCTCAGAGTGAAAAGAGCTGCTAAAGGTCCCGGTGGGCGCGTGCCAGCTAAGGAGAGTCTCGTCTATTCGGCGGATCACCATGCCAGCACCGCCATTCTGCGTACCGTTAAGCGTAGAACCATCGGTGTAGATGTTCAGATCAGTAGGCCCATTCATCTCTATTATGTTCCGCGCGGCCGCCAGCTGGACTTCGGGTGGGGCGGTTTTGCGGATGGGAGTAAAAAGGACAGTTGGGGGTAGAAGTGGGGGCCAGGTTAAGTTAGGGGTTGAAAAGTTGGTGGTTGGCTCAGGAAGGAGGTTGAGTTGGGAAAGAGCAAAGGTTGTAAAATTGCGCCAGTCTGAGCGTTTGAGGCGCTTCGGGATAGAGTTATGGAATAGAATCCTCCTGTCGTCAGTAGTGCTAAGATGGGCCCAGTCATCAGCCTTAGGGAGCGACAGGTTTTTAAAACGGGAGGAGAGAGGACGGAGGCTGGCTTCGAAAAGAACAGATTCAGCAGGAGTGGAGCGGACTTGGCCAGTGATGGCCCTGGCTGCTTGGAGTTGGGACCGTTCCAGCTTATTACTGTTGGTTGTGGACAGCCAGGGTGTCCACGCTGGGGCGGCATATTCGGCCACATCCTCATTGTCGCCATGTACACAGTCCTTAGGTCAGAGGGGTGCCAGCCCCAGGACGAACCAGACAATTTGTCGAGTAGGTTGAGGCGGCTTTGAATGGACTGTGAGACATATCGGACGTGTTCATTGAAGTATAGCTGTCTGTCGTATTTCAGCCCAAGAAAGGTTGGGGTGGCATTAGTGGAGAGGAGGGAGCCACCAAGATAAATTTTAGGTTGCCAAGATGCCTCAGCCGCATCCAAAGAGAAGAAAGCAACTTCCGACTTCGATGTGTTGAGAGTTAGACGGGCGTCTGCACTCCAGGCATAGACTTTGTCGACTTCAAACTGCAGTCTTCTTCCCGCAGCCTCCTTGTGGCGATCACTGCAGACGAGTGCCAGATCATCCACGTACGCAGAGACAAGCGTGGTTGGTTCGAATGTGCTGAGAAGATCGTTGATATAGATAACAAAGAGGAGAGAAGACTGAGCCTTGAGGAAGGCCCTCTTAAAAGGTACGAGAACGGCCGATTGAAGAGTTTATCTTGACTTTGGCTATTCTGTTGGTAAGCCAGGCTTTAGTCCAATCCACAAATCGAAGGGGAATCCCTAGGTCGAGCATTCGTTGAAAGAGTCTTTAAAGGCAAACTCACTTCTTCAAACACTCCCTTGGTTTGCCTCACCTGCCGTCGACGCTTCCATGTCAAGTGCGCCCCCGAAACCAGGTCTGCCCTCGACAGGCTCAGGCGGCAGCAAAGGTGGTCTTGTCCTACTTGGATGTTGTTGACGAGGCATTAGAGTGCAGAGACGAAGCGTCTGAATGTGTCTTTGACATGGTTACTTCGTTTATTTTCTCCTTCTGACTTCAGGACACTGATTTGTGGGACTACTTGTTGAAAGTGATGGTTTGTTCCTACCAGCGTGTTCACGTTATCTTGCCCGCGAGGAAGCCGTGGTTTTACTGTACTGTCTCGGCCAGATTTGGACAGTCAGCTAAACTCATTTCCTACACCACGACTCTGAAGACGTTGCTCTTCGTCCACAGGTTTAATGATGGAGAAAAAGATGAAACCATGATACTACCAAAGGTGTGAGATGTCTGTGGATTGTGCTGGATTAAACACGACGACCATAACGTTTCTCTCATAGACGATCTATCGCTCTAACTTCCTGCTTCCGCATACGCGTCTTCCGCTTTCATGACGTCACGTCCGTTTGTGAACTACACTGTTTGCAATGAATCAATAAAGTTACGTTGCATAAAGAAAATATTCTTGATGATGCATAGAAATATTAACATTACTTTAGTGTAACTTAAATAAAACATTCAAACTTAGATTAAATGTAAGTTGGGGACAGAACAACCATATATATATATATATATATATATATATATATATATATATACACACACACATACAGTATATATATATATATATAGATATTAAAAAAAAGATATATCT